CTCAGTACAATCTCAGCCTTTATAACTCTGATATTTCATACGGGGAGGTCTACGATGAGGATGGGTTTCACGCGTTTTACACATCATCCGAAGTACGTTTTTCATCATTCTTGAGCCTTTGATGTGCCTCGTGTGCTAAGTGTATGCGCACTTTCTAGCCACCGTTTGGGATGCAAACAGGTGTACAACCTATTCAGCTCGCAGCGACATCGACTCCCGTGAAGCATGTGCATAATCAGCATCAGCACCAGCACCCACAACAACAGAAACGTCAGCAAGTTCATGTATCCCAGCCTCAACCACAGATGCCACCTGCCCAACTGCAGTGCGCATTGTGCTCTCGACCCAATCCTTCCGCTCTTCTCATCCCATGCTCTCACAAAATCTGCACTTCCTGTTTCACTTCGTCGGTCAACATTGTTGGGGAAAAGTCGATGAAGTGTTCCGTTCCTGGCTGCGCGGTCGAGGTCTACGACTTCAAGCTCGTACCTGCGTCTTCCTCCCCCACTCGTACAGACAGCGGTCTCAGTGCTGCCGATGCTGCACTCAAAGCGCCAGTACCTCGGACCGCCAGCGGCGGGCATGGTCGGCATTCGCACACCGAATCCGCCGCTGAGCTCGACTTTTTCCAGGACATGTTGGATAGCGATGTCGTCAGGAGTTCCACCCCTCGTCCATCATCTCAGAAGGACCAGACCACCATCATTCTGAGGATCGATAACGTTCCATGGGTGAGTATCATATTCAATCTAGCTAGTCTATCGCGCATATATTGACGTCAAACGTCATTTATCTCTTAGGACATCACTCCTCCAGGTCTTCATGCGTTCTTTTCTTTACCCCCTGGTGTTCTTGCTCGTGCGCACGTTCTTCTCGATCGTAAGGGCAAGACGCTCTCCCATGCGTTTGTGGAGATCAAGGGCGAAGAATGGGCCAGAGCGGTCCTGAGGGGCGACTACTCTTCTGGGGGTGGCTCGACCTCGAGTAGGCCTGGCTCAACGAGACCAACTTCAGGGCGGACCGGTACTGTCGGAGGAGGCAGCGGAGTGCTTGGCGAAGGAAGGAGGAAGAGAGGCGTCACGATCACCAGGGGCAGTATGGGAGAGCTCATGACCGCTGTCAGTTTCTACCTCGCCTTATCGTTGCGCATCATCCACTGATACTATACATTTAGTTGTTTCCCTCGTTTAAAGGGACGTTTGACTCGACCTCGGGGCTTCCTGTGGTCACCAGCGACACCATCGGCTCAAGATACCCTCGGTATTTATTCAGCATGGATGAGATTCGCAGCATGAGCGCTCTGATCAAAGAGCCGGTTAGTGAACCGCCGCCATACGTCGTGCTCCTTTGATCTAACTCGTGAACCATCTAGACTCAATTTGTCAAGTCTGCGACGCTACCCATTTACGCGCTTATATCTGTCCTCGGGCATGTTCCTGCTGCCTCCAGCGCTGGCGCTGGCAGTGGTTCTGCCCATGACAGGGGGCAATCCGCTTTGGGATATGTTCTCGGCCCAGACGCTGTACGGGGTCTAGAGGGAGCTGTGCGAGGTGTGTCATCCACTTTGCTCATTCTGTTCCTGCGTGATGCTAAAGGGTTTGAGCGTAGACGCCATCATTATACTCAAGCCGAAGTACGAGGAGTACCTCCAAAGTCAGTCCAGCCAAGACGCAGTTGTGAAAGACGACTCCCCTGGAACCAAGGCCGATACCAACACTCAGGATACCAGCAACAACCCAGACGCCACTGGCAAGTCCACCGACTCAGATGTCACCAGGAGCGCCGCCGTAGTACCACAGGACGTCAAGGCTACCGTTGCGCCAAGCCCCGCTACTTCTGTCAAACCCGCCGGAGATCACGCAGCTCCGCCGCCGTTCAAGTCTGATGAAGTCGAGGTTGTTCTCAAGGAACTGGGTCAGAGCGTCAGCTTGTGTAGAGGTCAGTGCATTTACGCCAAGTCTTCGTCTCCATGATGTTGACTCGTTGGATCAGCATTCACTTCAAACCAAATCTCGAGTCTCCTCGAGCTCATTCCAGCATCGGCGCGGCCCGCCTTGAAGCCTGCTGCCAACCCAGGCTCCCCTTCGTTGACCACCGACTCGTCATTTGACACGCCATCCTTCTCGCGTTCACGCGAGTTTTCTTCCTCCAAGCGCCTAGCATTGGACCCGCCCTCGTTCACGGCGGACGGTGAGACGGAGTTCGTCTCCGCCATGTCAACACAGGATCTCGAGTTCAGCCTTGATAACTCTGTTTCTTTCGACTCTCCGTATCAGCCTCGCACATACTCCAGGACGCAGAAAGTCGATCACCATCGGGACAGGTCGTCGTCGACCTCTTCCTCTGCCTCGGCATCCTTCCAGATGGATGAAGGGTTCTCCTTGCCGAACCTTCTCCAGTCGCATTCCATGCTTCCCGGAAGGCAGAGCGTCGGTAGGATGAACCAGTCGTATGCTGGGTATCCGGGCCAGATCACCAACTATCCGTCGACTCCAGCTGCTGCGCAACCCATGTCAACCCCTTCACCGCCCGCCATGTTCTCGCCGTCCGATCAACATCAGTCTGCTGGACACGTTGCGCCCCATCCGTCCTCGAGTTACTCTCACGGGAGGACGGCCGTAGGCCTAGGTCGCCGTGTACCTAGCACACTCCCTGGGTTGAAGAGGAGCGAGATGCGCAGCGCATCGTCGATGATGGCCGCGCCGAATATGTTCGCTGGAGAGTCAATTAGCCCGTTCGTCCTCATGGGGATGGGCGGCAACAGGTCCATGGGCATGGGAATGGGAGGAATGGGTGCATCGAACCCCAATGCTAGCGTTGGGCCTGGTGTACCTCCTGGGCTCGCCCTTCGCGGTGGCTCTGGTATCAAGCGTGCCCCCAACACCAACGGTGCTCGTGCCAATGCCGGTGGCCAGGGTGAAGACCTGGATGTCCTGGCAAGGGAATTTGGCGTCGGTGTCGATGTTGTCGAAGCCTTGGCCAAGAGACTCGGTGGCAGGAACGTCACGTTCTAGGCCGCGAACGTGAAGCAGTCACCGCTGTTTCTCCATTCGGGTGCAATACCCCATCCATCTTCTTTCTGTCCCTTCTATCTCCTGTCCCCGACTCTTTCCGTGTTCCTTTCCAATGTCTTCTCATAAGCTATCCCCATCGTCCGTAACGTCAAGAAGTCGACCTTCCGCCGAAATTGTCGATGGATCACTCTCATTCTCCTGCAACTCTTACACCAAGCATAAAACCCAATTCATATCACATCGCATTGCGTCTCGTCTTCCGTAATAACAAAAATTCTCTCCTCTTTGATCTCGTCAACAACGCCTTTTTCTCCCCAACTTCGGTCTCTATATGCATCCATGCTTTCACAATCCGCTTTGCCATCTTGCATTTTCTGTAGTAGCATTTCTGCAACCTTCTCCAGAACAAGAAGGAAACCAACAAGACTGGACTGCATGCACCCAGACTCCTTATTATGCATCCTCCATCGCCTTTTTCGTACCTTTTCGTATTCCTTCCCAGACGCTACGACCCCCTTTTCTTCCCACCTCCGCGTACACCCCATACCCTCCTCTTCCATCCGAACGAATCATCTTCCTAACGCGTCCCCTTCCCTGCCCTTCTATCCGTGCTGCCCAGCTGGGTCGCGCTTCGTCTGGGCAGCCTGTGTCCGTTCTTTATGACCTGATGATCATGACGTTGAACAAGAACAGCTTTCACCTTGCTATTCGAGTATTATATTCTCTGTAGAACTATAATTATGGATGGACGTGTTTGTTGCCTAGTACTGGAGCGTCGAGTGCTCTTGTGAACCGATCATCGGCATTTGCTGTGGTCTGCAGCTAAGTTGCGTGGATGACGAGAACAAGCGTGAGGAGGCCGACACCTGCGATCATACTGTATACGAGTACAGTACATGCGTGTTTATCATCGTCCGTGGTCCTGTGGATCCCATTATCCATCATTGTCGAGCTCATGTAAGCACACAACTGCCGTCGTGCGTGCGCGTGTGAGTGGGTTATATACTGCAGGAGTAGCAGTACTGGTTCTGTGTCTCCATCGTGCGATTCGTGCTGGAGGTAGGGCTCCAACCAATTCAATTAGTTAGTGATTACAGTTGGTTATAACCGATGACTGGGTAGGATTAATTAGGGCCTGAGGTGTAATCGATTGTACTCTGTTTACTGGTTGGTAATTGGTTTCCAAATCCATCGGGTTTTGGGCCTGAGCTGGGCATTGTTTTACCCAGAAAGCGCTGAGTCGCCGTCGTTGTGTTGAACGAGTGACTGAGTGCTGTATCATCCCCCTCAGGCCGCTCTCCATCGCTACAGCTTATTTTGCCTCCCAAGACACGGATCCATCGGGTTGTGGGTGTCTCCTAAGGTTCATCATGTCTAGCAACACGATGGAGGTGACGGGGGAGCTTCTGCGATGCCGTCGTCGCGTAAATTATGTGACTTTATCCCGCTCCTCCCTCTCATGAGCATCATCTCTACTTTGGTCCCTAGAACTCGAATCCTTTGAGTGCTGGATGCTGTCTTGGATTTTCCATGTGCAGGAACATGACGGAGACAATGACAAGGCGTTGTGAGGTCGTCGTCGCGTACGAGTAGAACAAGTGAGTATCTGTGTTATCATATCATCCTCAAGCGTTTTGCCAGTTACACCTCGTCTCATGTTTTGGGGGGGGGGGGGGGGGGGGGGGGGGTGTCAGGTCCGTAGGAAGACGGTAGAGGCACGCGTAGAGCCCTCGTCCTCTTCTATGCCTCGTCTTCCCCTGCATCTCGTCCTTCACTGTGCCTTATCTTTCTCTGTGTCTCGTACCCCTCCGCCTCGATTCTCAAAAAAAGAGATCTATAATTAGTGATTAAACCAATTACAGCTGATTACATACTAATTACCTACTGTATACCAATTAAATACTCGATCTGAGTAATTGTGATGTAATTAGTCGGAGCCCTGGCTGGAGGATTCCGCAGACAAAAAGCTAATTTTATACCGTGTAATGGACACATTGGGAATTGAACCCAACACCTCTCGCAATCCACTTGACCTTGAGTGCTAAGCGAGCGTGATAACCAACTACACCATGTGCCCGTTACAAGACTTTCCTGCTCAAAATTTATGACGTAAACCGCTGGAAAACGAAGCCCGGCCGATCAACTCACCTTCCGAATCTTTGGGGAACACACCTCTGGCATGACGCCGTCACTATCTCAAGAGTACGTTGCACATTCCGCTTATTCTACCTCCTCAACTTAGTGTGTTTGAACAGGCTGCAGCTCGGCCTAAAACAGTTCTTTGGAACGCTCGTCCTCCCCTCCTCCTCACGAACTCCGTACACATCGCAATCTATCCCCACAGTCCTCGCCTCGTTCACGTCATTCCTCTTCCTTGCATATCTCTCTAGACGACGCGACACATATCTCATTCGGCTACTACTGTTACCAGCCGTAATATGCACCTCCCTGGCATGGGCCTACCGATATACATTTGTGCGCGGCCCAGGATATGAAGGCATGAACCTCTATGACTGGGGCGGTGGACTGCTCGTGGGGGCGATGATTGCCAAGGCACTAGAATACGCCTTTACCAAGGAGGGTATGCTGAAAGACGACGAGCTGCATCTCAAGGCAGTTGGCAGCAGCAGCAGCACAACCACACACCAGAATGGAACCACCGTCTACCAGAACGGGAATGCATCATCCCAGAAAGGTTCCGACACGAATATACATCTACCCTGGATGCCCCGCGGCCTCTACGATGCTTGCGAGGTTGCCTTCTCCCTGCGCGGCTACGGCTTTCGATCCGGAAAAGCCACCGCCCGTCCCCCACACGCACGACCCTCACACCCAACCTCCACCTTCCTCCTCCGCACTCTTCTCTCATTCCTAGCCCATTTCCTCATCCTCGACGTCGTGGAATCAGGCTTCAAACTCGTTCCTCACATCGGCACGACTTCCGGCGGTACGATGTTCTACCCATCTCTCCCTCCGCTACAACGCTACGCCGTCAGCACCGCGCTCCATACCGCCGTCGGGTGCGCTCTGCTTGTCGGCTTCGGAGTGGCGTACGACCTCGTCACTCTAATCGGCGTCGGGCTCTTCGGAAGCTCACCAGAGAACTGGCCACCAGTCATTGACAACCCCTTCCGAGCAACCTCCCTGCACGAACTTTGGGCTCGTCGGTGGCACCAGCTTCTGCGAAGGACGTTCATCGTCTTTGGTGGGATCCCCGGCTACCACATATTCAGGCTGTTTGGGAAGACGCCCGCGCAGATTGGGATGATGTTGGGCACTTTCTTGGCATCTGGGTTGTATCACGAGCTGACAATCTACGCTATGGGAAAAGGGCTGGATTGGCGGCCGGTGGTTTTCTTTGCCGGACAGTCCGGGTTGATGATGCTCGAGAGGCTGTGGAGGGGGTTGACGGGCAAGAGAGTGTGTGGGTTTTGGGGTGGTGTGTGGGTGTACTCGTGTATCTTTGTGTTGGGGCAGCCTATGAGTGAGTGTCACTGCGTCTCAAACTTGGATCGCGTTGCTGAAGTGTTTGTAGCCGACTCGTGGCTCCAGAGAGGCCTTGCTGGTGGGTTGGTGATACCTACGCAGATAAGTCCTGTGAGGTGGCTTTTGACGTACCTACAGCAATGGGAGCTCTTACAGGGAATCTCGCCGTCGGCATGAGACGGCCTCCTGCATACTATCTACGCCTAGCCAATGCTAGACCCAGGCTGTATGGCAGCTCACAATTCACCAATCTACTGATACCACTAACTTTCGGCTTTCTTCTTTCTTGGCCATTTACAGAAGCACGGCGTATGCTGTTGTAGACTACATACCATATACGAACTATGAATACCTCGCTATAATTCTATCATCTGCTCATGTAACATCGTTTTTGGGTGACACAGTTTCCACCGTTGGCTCAACACTCAACGCCCACCATTGGCTCGATCTCTCACGAAAGTACAGGTCAGTGAATTTACACAGGACGGCAGCTTCTTTCTTCCGGAACGCAAACTGTCAGAGGAAAAGTAAAGAATTCCCAGTTGCGTGAAGATTGGGGGCCTCATTTCTTGGAACAATCTGTCAGTCGTAAGTATCGCCTGTTGCACATGACTGCTACTGGGAGTTTGTCGTCTCACGCACAACCGGCTGTATCTGTCCCTGTTTTGTAACTTGATGAAATGAAGTTTCAGGATCGTCGCGATCTCAAGGGTGGGCTTATTATTCATATAACTCCTTGCACTCTTCTCGCCAGATGCGAGGTTCGTCGGCTCAGGGCACCTCCGGCGAATCATGGTAATTTATAGCTGTGAAGCACGCAGCACTTGGGCGCCTTCAACCCGGATTCTAATCTGTGATAGGATCCCGGGATAACATGCACCGAATGCTAGGGTTTTGAGGCAACAAAATGCTGAGAGGAGCCAGTTCGCACGATCACGGACCTCCAGCGCCCATATTCATACGAGTTTCTCACGACACTGGGTTGTCCACTCTCCAGTGACAGTTCACGTCAGCATTTCAAGAAACCCAACAATTACGGAGAAACTGAAATTTCTCCGCGACCAGTGCGAGGCTGAGTACTTCAGCTGTCGGAAAAAAACACGGGTTTAGTAGTACAGATGACAACGTTAACGTTCATGATCAGACGCGTGGACGTCGTGGCTTACTGTGCCTTTTTGAACCTTGTTCGTTGCGGCAACTAATATCACGCATCCAAGGTTCAGGCAGCCAATAATCTGCTAATGGTTATGCCAGTATCCGCATTCGTCAATGCTGCACGAACCTAAGACTTGTTGACGCGAATTCCAAACGTCGCGTCAGTCCTCGTGATCGCGTTTCAAGCACCATCGTCATAACTCCAACCGGCGTCTGAACGTCTCCGGATAACCTTCATCTCCTTACCCCGTGAACACCAATACCCTTCTCAAGTACCAGTAACTATCACCCATAAACCTCTCGGCACTGTCGACAACAGCCCACACCAATGGCACACATCCAATCCGAACAGCCGACGAACGCTACAACGCCAGTGATTGTCCATCATCTCAGTGATTCTCGGTCACAGCGTATTCTGTGGCTGCTGGTGAGCCCGTGTTCCCTGACTGGATGTTTTCAGGATTGACAACAGTGTTCTGTTTGTAGGAGGAACTTGAGGTCCCTTACGAAATCAAGAGGTATGAGCGTCAGGATAACCATATGGCACCGAGGGAGCTTCGTGCCGTACATCCTCTGGGCAAATGTACGTTGTACCTTGAGCTGCAGAGCTGGCTTACTGAGCAGCTTCTGACGGCCCAACTGTTCTTCTCAGCTCCGGTTATTACTGCTGGCTCTATCACGGTAGCTGAGAGCGGTGCCATCGTTGGTGAGTCCAGCGTAACACCTGATCCCTGAACGGTAGCCTGAGGCACTCAAACGTCTCCAGCGTACCTCATCGAGAAACACGGAAAGCCAGTGCAACTTTCAGAAGAAGGTCGAAGACAGGATACCTACTGTCAGTGACACAGATCGTTCTTGCTCCCCAGACCATAGTGCTGAAAAACCTCTCCCACACAGTTTCCCACTACGCCGAAGGATCTCTCCTCCCCATCCTAGTGCAAAAGCTCATGTACACAATCATCCCCTCACAAACCCCATTCTACCTACGTCCTCTAGCGTGGCTTTTCTGCGGCGGACTATTGTCGTCAGTCGTGAACCCCCAACTCAAGACTCACTCGCAATATGTATGTCACCGTCCCGTCCCATCCCTTCCATCAGTATCACGGTGTAACTGGAGACTAACACGGCGATGAATGTCACCCCCACCAGATCGAGTCCCACATCGCGAGCATGCACGGCGGATGGTTTGCTGGTGGTGCTGAACCGACGTCGGCGGATTATATGATGGCGTTTGGGTTGGAGGCTATGGTGGCTTTTGATACGGATAAGACGATTGTTGGGCCGGCGTCGAGGAAGTATGTGGAGAAGGTACATGCTAGGTTGGTGCTCTTACCATATAGAGGCTCGAACCTTTGCTGATGTTCTCTACGCTCGTAGGCCGGCTTATAAGAGGGTATGTTGCTGCCTTGAGATCTGGTAGACTGCATGCATTATGATTAATCGGTTTTCTCTTCTTTCAGGCTCTCGAACGAGGAGGCGAGTACGCGTATGCTTGAGCTGAAGTTGAAGTTATGTGTGTACTGTAGATGCCATTGTACTTCTTCTTTCGATCGTGTCAAAGCAGTGTACGCCGCAGTGCTTCGCCGGAAATGCGCTTGTCTCTCTATGAGAGACGGTCTACTTTTCGTGTGCATATGTACCCACGATGAAAAAGGCAGCGCAGCAGGCGACGCGTGCCACACTAGTACTGGACATTGCAGGGGACTTCGGAGTTGAGCGTGGGTCGCTGCTAGCAAGTTCTGTAGTAGCATCCAGGTTCCAGCCTCCTCATGAGCCAAGCGAACCCTAATGCCGTAAAGCTTCTCGAGATATGTCCATGCTCGAGCGTAAGAGTAAGATATGTCTAGAGTCCGCTGCACTTCAGCTCGCGATCGCAGTGTGGCTGCTTGTAGGTTCAAAGTTTTAGCTGCTCGGTCTTGGCAAGGTGTCCTTTCGTCAGAGCTAGTAGCTCTGTGTATACTCACGTAAACTTAGCCCAGGTTCATGCATGCGACGTATAACCATTACAGTCTTCGATCTATAGCTTGATACTCACTGGCATCCATTTGTGGTTTCATCGGAGTTAGGCCTCGGTTTCTCACCTGCGGTGCAACGGTAAGCGGCAAATGGTACGTACTGAGCGCATTGGATGGGAGGCTAATCATGAGCATAAGTCAATATGCGTCTTATAGAGAAATAACACAGCTGCATGCCAGTGCTTGTTCTGTATCCATCCGTTGGATCTGACCGGGACCGAAACCTACTCAGTCTCAGGCAACCTCCGTGAGATACGCCGCTGCATCGTAGGTAGAAGTCGTAGAAGAACCTCGAAAACTTTAGGGAATACTCTTCCGTCTAGCTACTGAGCTGAAATCCCGATTGCGGGACAGTATCGACGCAGTTGGCGTTGGAATAACTCGTGTCGCTAAACATACATAACGATCGTACATAGCGGCG